GACTACAAGCACCCAGCCTGGGAGACAAATGAAAAGAACTGGGAGACAAATGAAAAGAACTGGGAGACAAATGAAAGGAAGTGGGAGACAAGCCGGCCGGGAACCCGACCAGACCATCCAGCACCCCAAGGCGACCATTCTTTAAAGCATTGAGAACCCCTAACAGTAAACTGTTTGGGGAAAAATCTGGAAACTGATGGATGGTGTGGGGCTCGTGTAAGGCATGTTGTGTCATTTCAACTCGTCGTATGCAGCTGTTGGCTGGTGAGTCCACAACAATTGGCTGCACGACCAGAAGCAGACACGGCAAACAAGAATCATCAAGAACACAAAGCGCTTTGGACACCATGTCTGTATGGTCGCTGTACTGTTTCACACTTTGTCCCAACAACACCAACTTCCATTTTTTCGACCCTTTCTCCAAAGAGTAAGCCAAACGCTCCCCCTGTCATCACGGACATCTTCCATTGGTCTCTGTGCATCTGCGTCGTGGTCGGGCCGGGCTGTGCTCCCCCGACTTTTGGTGTGCCATCTGCTCCGCTAACGGCTTCTCGACCGTCCATTTCCTCATCCAACACCCCAAACGGCTTTGTGCACTTCTGCACCGAGGACGAAATGGGCAGAAATTATAGTGGATTGAGAGTACATGGCGCAATCCCCAAGGTGGTTTATATGGACCCCTGGTGTATATGCACACCCATAAAAAAGAATATATAAATATATATATATACTCTGAAATCTGAAACCACTGTAACCGAGAAGGTCTGATTGACGAAGCATCCGTCCAAAACCCCCCGCAGTGAAGCACTGCAATATGCGCGCATTTTTGAGCGGCTCTGCCTGGACTAAGCCTAATTCGAGCGGGTGGTCACCTTGTGTGGGATGCCCCGCTTCCCGATTCCTAGCCAGTCCCGAACCGAACTCCAGACAGACTGTGCTACTCACAGTTGTTCCTCTGAGCTCCTTACAGTAGATCTTCCAAGAAGACTGGCACCTGCCAGAGAGGTACAGCAGAGACAGAGAGAGGACGGTCCAGGACTCACTGTTCGCTCGCATTGGTGGACATCCATTTTAGTTTTTCCACAGTCGCAGCCTCGGATTCCTCGATCAACTGTCTGCAGTGTGTTTGTGTGTGTGTGTTCGGATGTGTTCCCCAAAGTGACTCCACGGCGCAAATTTGTTTGCATCTCGCACTTGGATTATTGGCAGCATCCTGCAAGGAGGCCGTCCCAGCCACACGCGGCATGGCCACAACACGCCTCTCCTGCTATGGGCTGCGCTCTCGGCTTTGGACCGTCACATCTGGACGAAGTGGTGAATTAGATTCAGCCGGAAGGGAAAGGAAGACAAGCCCCAGTGCCCAATCAGCAAGCCCGGGTGCATGTCCTACAGGCACGATTCCAGTTCACAGTCATCTACGTCCACTCCAAGCGGTGCCACACCTCACTAGAACACCAGCCAAAAGTCCATGGTTGGAGCTCCCAAAACGGTCAAAGCTGTCCAAAATCAGTGGTGTGCAGCCACTTGCCTACTGTGGGGAGTATGACAACCCCTCACTACCTGAGCTCTTTTGGCACAATCATCTCACTTGCTGCGAGTGCCGCGAGCGCCGCGTGCACAGCCACCAGACTCCTCTCAACCGTTAGGTGTCACAAAACATCACCAAAAGAGAACTCCGTCGAAACTGCTCAAGCATTCTACAGCATAGCATGACAAACACTGCAAGAGGGTTATGATAGACTGCAGCTTTCCCCAGATGTCTGGGCACTCTCAAAAAAGAATGCCTCACATCCCCCGAACCAAAGATACCAAATTGTGTGGAGCTTCAACATGTACGACTCCACAAACCCGAAAAATGAGGTCAGCGCCGCCAGCCTTAGAAGGAGTGCATGTGCCGCAAGGCATGTGCCCGCAGGTTGTGCGGGAAGGGCAGCGTGGAGCCCGAGACTTTTCCCGGCACAGCGAGGCCTCCACCCTGAGCGTCGGATATTGTACGGTCCAATGAAACCACCTAACCTGGGGGGCCCTTGTGCCATCGAACCTCTGAAACCGCTGTGAGGGTCACGATGCTCCATGTCAGTATATTGTAATTGAAATCGCCCGCTGGCCACTGCTTAAGTCTGGCCGTGGCAAACATTCAGATCGCCAGTCCCACTCAAATTTATATCATTGAACGATCCTGGTCGAGCTGTTCATTTGGCTTGAAGCTCTATGCCCTAGGGATGCAAGTGCCTGGTCAGAAGGTGATTGGAGACACTGTTATGTAGGTAGCCTTCTAGAATCAGAAGGTACGACTGGATCACTAGAAAATGATTAGTTCATGTCGATCGAGCTTTGAACTATGAACCCTGCCACCTGTTTCACCGGCTGCACACACCAAACTCCCAACGAAGACCATGACAGAACACGGAAATTCCGGGACCTTCTAACTACTTGTTCACCTGCCCACTTGCCACAAACCTCCACAAACTCCATAAAGCTGCAGTCTGCCTCGGCCCAACCGAAAAAAGTACTTCAACAACATCCACCACTTCGACTCGACCCCTTCGCTGCAACCCAAAAGCATCCCTGTCTGCCACCCTACTCAGCTATATACTGTGACCGGGTCGTCCAAGCCGTTCGGAGCGGTGGTTCCACCGCGAACGGTTCCGACTCCGCACCGGACGTCTCCTGGCCTGAGAGATGGTGGAGAGACGGCTTTGGTGGTGAAGCACGCTCCTGCCGCGGAGACGGAGCAGGTCTGGCAGCTTCCGGTACGGCCAAGAGGGCCAGACGGATCTGGGAAGCACTGCTTGACACAACGAGCCCCATACCATACCATCCATGTTTACCTAACATGGATTGGCAATCTGGCATACATGGATTGGCAGGACCGGCGCCACGCTGGTCCCTCCCACCCCACCACCCGCCACGCTCGCCACCGCTGTGGCCACGGCGCCGAGGTTCGAAGAAGTGGCCGCGAAGTTTGGACGTCTTATTCCAACTAGCAGCTAGTAGCGTCCTTGCTAGTAGCGAGGCCAGAAGCACCTAGTAGCCTCCTTGTTACATGTCCAACTGCCACTGGGGAGGAGGTTCCCTAGCCTACTGGCGAGACAATTCCCAACTGCTGGGGGGAGTCTCCAAGCGAGTCTTTTTTTCTTCGACCCGCTCAAATCGATCTCTCTACCCAGACGCGACCCGGGACCCTCATATGGAGGGTCCAGACCCTCAAATCCGTATGGTTTTGAGAGACCAAGGGGCTGTTTGGAGCGTCTGGGTACTTTACATGTCCACACAGTGAATGGATCCGTTGCTAATCTGCACCCCGATGGTAAACGAGAACGGGTTCACCGCCAGCACGCCCAGCAAGCTCAGCAAGCGACTGGCGCTCTGCCTCCGCAAACCCGGCACATCAATCGCATCACCAACGTAACGATAGGCCATGGTCAAGAGGTAGCCCTCCAAACCTCCCACCAAGGTGAAGCAAATGATGTACATGTTCTGCCCCTCCGGAGTCTTCATAAACGAAGAGAGTGGCTCAAAGAAGCCCATCGCCACCTTACTTGAAGAACTGTTGACCCCCCGCAAGCACCACAGGAGAGCCTATCCCCAAATGCTCTCCAACAAGCTTCTTCTATCCAAAGGCATCCCCACTCGCATTCAAAGCTACATCATTGTATAGATATGTAGATATGTATGGATAGCATATGATGATATTGTCAACATGCGAATGCATTTTGCTGTACACCTGTCATGAGGTGTCATGTTTTCCAGTTGAGCGACTTCCGTCGCATCTTTGTCCGAAGGGCCCTTGATCCATACGCGTTACGACCTCGACACTCGCAGCCATAAAGGTGCGCTTTACTTTGTTGCTTGGACGCTTTGTGGACTTCGGTTGCCACCATTGCGATTGAGATTGGTAGCGGAGCGCTACACGATCCTCGGAAAGATCTTGGAGGTGGACCTTTTTGATTGAAGACTGCTTTGGCATCCTCCTACCGTTTAAAGGTAACCTGATCTCAAAGATCGTGAACAGCGCCACTATGGCAGGAAATGGTGGTGGACAACAACGTCGACGCCGCGAGCAAGAAGTCCCACCTGCTGAAGGAGATGGATGGACACCTGAGCCTGAAGGGACACGATCTCCATCGAGAGCCAATGGAGCCGCTTCTTCGGCAGCAGCTGGTGGATACCGCCGACTCGACAGTGGCTTGGCGAAAGCCGCTCCCATCGCCGACGACCTGACCCAGTCCAACTACAGGAGCTTTAGAAAAAGGTTGGAACTCTTTGCCCTCCAATGTCGCAGGAGATCAAAGGATGCAGAAGTCGAAGGAGCTTTGTTGGTGGTTAGCCTTCTCAAGAACTTGGCTTGGGACGCAGCCTCAGAGCAGCTCGACCTGAATGACATCGAGCGGAACACGGAACCCTTCAAGCCCGTGTTGAAGCTGTTGGACGGCCTGTACCAGTATGAAGAAGAGATTGAGGTCCCCGTACGCTGTGAAGATTTCTTTCAGCTGTTCATGAGAAGCCGGGGAGAAGAAATGCAGGCCTACTTGATTCGCCACAAGACTCAGTTGAAGAAACTCCGGGAGATTGGCATCGAGATCCCACCGCTTTTAGCTGGTTGGCACCTGCTCACACGGTCTGGTGTGCCCAAGTGGACTCACATCCAGATCAAGAGTCTTTGCAACGGCGAGCTCAAGTATGATCAAGTTCATCAAGCCTTGCTCAAAGTCTTCGGCGGCGACCACAAGCCGAATCCTCGTGACTTGTCCTCCAACACCAAGACGGTCAAGGATGATGGATTCATGGTTGAGGACGACGTCAACCCTGACGAGGAGTTCTACATGGATGATGAAGAGGATTGGTATGAGACATACTATGAAGATGAAATGGAGGAAGGCTTCGAAGATGAAATCCCTGAGGATTTGGAGGAGGCAGCTGACGTGATGGATGAAGCCTACATCTCCTATGTGGACTCGCGGAGGAGGATGAAGGAACTTGCTCTCTGAAGGGGATTCTACCCCATTGTCGCCATTGGACCTGAATATGATGGCTACGGTTCGAAAGGAAAGTCCAAAGGCAAGAGCAAGTCAAGACCCTCAAAGGGAAAAGGAAAAGGAAAAGGAGCTCCACGACGATTTCCGCCTCAACAACGACGACCCATGGCTGGTTTGAGAAAGCCCTATGCACCGTCTTCAGCGTCGACTACCACTTCAAGTGCTGACTACAAGTCAACGCTGTCAGGATCAACATCCAGTCATGGCCCTCGCTTCAAACGCTATAGAGTACAAGCCCAAGGTGCAAAAGAAGTTCCTGAAGAACAAGTCACCATGGTGGAAGATGAGGTACCACTATGCCACTTCGATGAGGAGGAGGTATACTTCGTGTCGCTTGGCCCTGGCATGGCTATTGTTGACTCTGGAGCCACACGCACCATCGTTGGAGAAGAAGTCTGGAAGAAATGGCTTGAGGAAGGCAACTTCGATGATGTCCTCAAGATCCAAACTCGTCCTCAGGTGCGTGACTTCAAGTTCGGAGGAGGAGAAGTTCTTCGATCGAGCTATGAGGTAAAGTTCATGGCCATGGTGAAGGGTCAGCAACTTCCAATCTGTGCCTCTGTCGTGCCGGGACCTACGCCCTTCTTGCTCGCTCGCCCTACTCTCGAGGACTGGAAGGTGAAGCAAAACTATGAAACCAATGAGCTCAAGATCGGAGAATCTCCTTGGTTCAAGCCGGCACGAGGAGCCAAAGGACACTATCTACTCAACCTCCTGGACTTTGATGGTGACACCAAGGACATGGCACTCATCACTGAGGAAGTCTTCCACAACAATGACGTTTTTGCCATTGAGCCGGTCCTGGAATCTGAAGCCACGAATTGTGATGACCATGTGCTCCTTGAAGTTGAACAGGATGAAGCTTTCAAGATCCTCGATCAAATCGGAGCACGAATTGATGAAAACAAGAAGCTGATCTTCTTCGAGGTGTATGTCGATGAGGGCAACATTGCCACCTACCTGGCAAAGAACTATCCTCATGTTGAGGTATCGACCTTCGGACTTCCAGAATGGGACTTCAGCATTCCAAGAGTCAGAGAGGCTTTCAAGAAGCTTGTGAAAAGGGTGAAACCACACTATGTTTGGATGGCACCGCCATGTCGGGTATGGAGCACCATTCAACGATTGAACTGTGGCACTCCCGAAAAGATGAAGAACTTGATGTACCAGCGTGATGTGGAAGAGAATTCACACCTTATGATGGTCAAGGAAACCAGTGACATCTGTGATGACGTCAACTCCGGCTTTGCAGTTGAACAACCACATCATGCCGCTTCTTGGGACACCAAAGCATTGAATAGCATTGACAACTGCTATGACGCCGTTTGCAACAGATGCCAAACTGGTCTGTGCTACTATGACAAACAGGGCAACTATGTCGGAAAGGTGAAGAATCCTACCAGATTGAGAACGAATGATGATGAAACCTATGAGGCCCTCAACCTTCCGTGCACATGTTCCAGCTATGACCACGTCAACATGGATGGCAAGAGTCGCAGTCTGAAACAAATGCAAAACTACGAACCTGGATTCGTGAAGTGCGCAGCTAAGGCCATCATGGCCTCCATGGAACGTCGCTGGAGACAACGTGAAGTTCTTCAAATCTTCGTCTCCGAGGATGTCAATATGGATGAGAAGACCCAGAAGACCACAGAGACTTCCGGAATCACCGAGGAAGAAAAGAAGCTCATGAAGAGTCACAGCAAACAAGCTCTTTCGGTGGTGACAAAGCTGCACAAACAATTGGGACATCCTGGCAACGATAAGTTGATCAAAGCCATGAGGGATGCACAAATGGACGACTCCATCATCAAGTGCGCTCGTGACTTTCGTTGCGATGTTTGTGCCAAACACCTCATGAGCAAGTTGCCAAAGCCTGGTTCATTGCCCCAGTCTTCGCACTTCAATGAGATGCTTGAAGCTGATGTCTTCCATGTCAAATGGAACAATGAGAAGAAAAAGATCTTGGCCATCCTCGGCACCTTCACCAAGTATGAGGTCAATGCAGTGGTGGAGCGAGAGACTGAAGAATGTGAGTTGAAAGTGCTTGAGGAACAATGGATCCATCCTTTTGGACCTCCGAGCAAATTTCGAACTGATGCCTCTGGAGCCCACATGAGCGAGCAGTATCTGAGGTTCTTTGACAAGTATGGCATCAAGCTCATCATTGTTCCCAAAGAGGCACACTACAGGATGGGTGCAGTCGAGCGCTTGCATGCAGTTCGCCGACTTCAGCTCTACAAGATGCAACAAGGTGAGCCCAATGTGGAGCTTGCTGATGCCGTTCGCATGGCCTGCAGTCAAAGGAATCGCCTTCGGAACGTGCATGGCTCATCACCAGCTCAAATGGTCTTTGGCTACAATCCAGCCAGTGGTGGACTCATCGATGAACCAGCACCAACTCGACCTGATGTGCACGAGGCCATTCAGCAAGATCATGCCTTGAGGCATCTGGCATCCAAAGCTTTCTACGAAGCAAATCATGATGCACTTCTCAAGCGCTCCATTCTGTCTCGCCCACGGCCTGAGCTTGAACCTCTTCAGCTGGGAGATTATGCATTCTACTGGCGGACCTGGACTCGTGTGCGCAATTGAGCCTCGCACCACTGAGGACGGCATTCTCCGACCTCATGTCTATTGGTTGGCCCACGGAAGCAGCTTGGTTCGCTGTGCCCCTGA